TCGGAAACTGTTTTATTCAGCTATAAAACAAACTAAAAATAACACAAATTTGAACGCTGTCTTTACTATGATCGACATATCACATGCTCATTCATCATATCTACGCTTTCGTTGAATCGCTCAGCGACAACGGGCTCCGCATGCGTGTGTGGTAATGTTATAAAGGAAAATATAGTTGTCGCTTCAACATATTATTATCTTCGCTAGCCTGATCCATCACAACATTAAAATATTTCCTCCAATTAAATATATATATATATATATATATATATATATTAAATGATAATTTAATAATTTAATATTCACATTAACTGTCTATAATATACGACATACCATTATTGTATTTCAGTCATTAAGTTATTAACATATTATTTTCACTCTACGAACTTATACCACACATACCTGGAGAAAATATTATTTAAGTATTTGTACGTTATAAATAAAACATAATGATCTGTACAGGTGGTATTGAAATTGATGTCAATTATGGGTGACCCTGTGGCAGGTTTTCCAGAAATAATCGAACTGAATAAATTGCGGAGGTGGTACGAATTACGGATAAATGAAAACAGGCAAATTACGTTGAAAATGAAACGTTAGTAATTTTGATCATCGTTTTTAATATAATTTGTATACATAAAATTATAATTAACTGTAGGATCGTAAATAATAAATACACGTGTATATATGTATGTAATTAATTGTTAGTGTCATACTTAAACACAAAATTATGATTTAATGATATAGAAAACCTGATGAAGCAGTCGATAAGCGCATGGAGTTCACCACGGCCCAAACTGACGTCCATTAAAGTACCACAGAACCCAATGCAAGGTGTGAACAATGTTGGTGCAGTGAAAATTACATGGGATAGAGTGAATGAAATGAAACGCAAAGTGAGTATCATTTATCGATGTATATGTAAAAAGGAAAATCAATGGGTTTTTACATAATAGGCATAATATGGCACATYACATGAATAATATAATAATCTCAATATGCAGTCTTTTTATAATAATATAAAAAGTACGAATTTAAAAAAAATTGATTTCAAAATATTATATTATAATTTTACTAAAAAAAACAATTTATACATAGTTTTATAATATAGGATGTAAAAAAAAGTTTAAATAAGAAAATAAAGATAGGATGGATTATCCACAACGCATAATTTAATATATTTAAAGAAAGAATCAAAAAT